GAAGAGGATCTCAGCCAGACTGTCACTCCACCACACCTGGGGCCTCGGCCCCAGGTAAACTCCCTGCTTCTGGGAGGCAGATACCATCTCTGTGGCCTTCAGTTTGGAAAAATCCCAGACTGATTTCTGGTTGGGAGAGGGGTGACCGGGGTGCCCCTGAGCCCGCTTGATCCTGCCGGAGAGCTGGCCTGAGGGCGCCGGGGGGATTCAAAGAGGAACTGTGTGCTGTGGGATCCTCCCCGGGGGGGCTCACGCCCTGGTGTGGGAGATAACTCAACCACACAGGGGGCCGCAATACCGGGGGGGAAGGTGGGAGGCCCAGAGAGGACCTTGACCAGGGCTGCAGGAACACCCACAGTGTCCGTGGCGGAGGCCTGAGACCCCTTTGGGGCTGGGCAGGGCTGAGAGAGGAGGATTGCAGAAGATACGCCCCAGCCCTGTACTGAGCGCACAGAGAGGGGAGGGGTCCAGCAAAGGAGGAGGAGTCTGGGAAAAAAAGACACACACTCCGGGAGGCCCCATCGTGTGCACACAGAGAGGGGAAATGCCCGGATAGCGAGGCAGAGATTTACAGATCTCACACACCCTGTTGGGCCGGANTGGGCCATAATAATCATATACATTGTATATTGACAAAATAAAAATTTAATGAAAAAAAACATAAATAAATAAACTTAGCGAAGCAATGAGGAAAGAGAGAGAAGGTGGGGCAGGGGAGGGAACATAAAAAATAAAATAAAATAAAAAAATAAATGTATTAGCTCTGGGCTGGCCTTTGGCTCACTTGGGAGAGTGTCGTGCTGACAACACCAAGTCAAGGGTTAAGATCCCCTTACTGGTCATCTTAAAAAAAAATGTATTAGCTCTGAAACTTTGGTATATATGCAATAATATCTACTGTTTTTTAAATTTAGATATTAGCAAATTACTAATAAATGTGAATGGGAAAATGTAAGTCTGATGGTTAAACACAAGAAGAATTGTCACCCTTTAAATGTCTGTTTCAGGTGAACAACAGCCCAATCAGGCAGTGACAATTACTAATGAGGCACCACCTTAGTCAGTGTTGGGGTGAAGAAAGTGGGTGGCTAATAAATGATGTTTTAAAAGGTCTACATTTTGGGTTGTTTGAAATATTCTTCATTAGAATTGTCAAGATGTTTTTAAAAGTTACTTTAAAATATTTTGTTGTTTAGCCTTTTTATAATCAAACATTTAATTGTTTAAGAATAATTAGATATTTATATGTTTAGTGTTTTTAGTTTAGTGTTTAGTGTTTGGCTACCCTCAACATTAAGTTGCTTGAGCTGTTTCTCCCTTCATTTTCATAGAGTCCTAATGAGAAACCTTTTTGTTGGACATTTCCATGCACCAAAAAATCAGCGTCATGACGTGTTAAGATTGATGGGAAGCTTCCTGGGTATTGAAAGGGAGGAAATGGAGCAGGTAACTAGACAGTGAGAGCCATTCAGAATACATTTATAACTAACATAGTGGTATCAAATTGTTTCCTTTTAATATGTATAACTTTTACTGAATATAATTTTCTCAATAATGTGGAAATGGAATCATTTCACAGTCCATTGAACAAATGGATTTGTTTAATTTTTGTATTAGTTTAAATGTTCTGTAACTTATAAACCACTTCTCATATCAGGATATCAGGATGCTAAATTTTTGAGATATGGCAATTCCCAAAACTTTTATTTGAGATCATTCCAGGGATGCCATTTTATTGTATTTGTGGCCCCTATCAGTAGGAAACATTTTCTAGGAATTGGACTTGAAAACCATACTATATGAAATTACGTATAAGTGCTTCTTGTTTTTTCTTTTCTTGTACTGATAATATTTTTCTGTTTTAAAATAATCTTGTAGTTGTTTCATGAAGATCAGGGTGGTGTGACCAGGTGGATGACTGGGTGGCTTGGAGGAGGATCAAAAAGTGTCCCCAACACAACTTTGAGACCAAATCAGCAATCTGTGCTTAATAGTGTAAGAACCGATTTTATTCTTGCTGAATATGAATGGTGAAATGGTTGTATGTTGCACTCATTTGAAAATAATCAGATTTCTTTTTCAGGTTATTTTATACAACCGTTTTTATTTTGGAGTTGTGATAACTGAGAAGAGAGGTGATTAGCTTAAGAATAACAAGCCAGTTTCAATAATTTTATTGCATATAGGTTTTATTTTAACTTTTTATATGGTACTTTTATTTTTCAAAGTATTAACTGTTCTTTTCTTTATGCTTGATTATGCTGTCATTGGCAGTCTTGCTACTAAATCATAAGATTCTTGAAAATAGAGGCTTTGGGGCCAGCCCGGTGGCGCACTGCTACAGTACGCAGCTTGGGAAGCGTGGTGGCGCTCCCGCCGAGGGTTTGGATCCCACATATAGACCGGCCACTCACTGGCTGAGTGGGGAGCGGGGGCAACGCCAACGGTTGCGATCCTGTTGCCGGTCCCGGTCCGGTACGGGCGCGACACTGAGGGTTGCGATCCGTTGCCGGTCACGAAAAAAAGACAAAAAGACAAAAAAAAAGAAAAAGAAAAAAAAGAAAATAGAGGCTTTGTTTTGCTCATGTATATATGTTGCAAAGTGAGCCAGTGAACACCTGCCGTGTATCAGACTATTCCAAGCATTGTGGATGCAGCTGCAAACCAGATAGACAAGGCTCCTGCCCTAAACAAACTTACATTCTGGTAGGAGGAAGCAATTAGTAAACATGAAAACACTGTGTGTGGTATGTGGTAGGCTTTAGATGAATATGTATTGAATTGAGTTGTACTGTGAGTTAGAATGTGGAGTTTCTTTTATTATTTTTTTTAATAAAGAGGACATTAAGGATAGGTGACTTACCCAGAATTGGTTAAAGATAAAACACTGTTTTACTTAGATAGCATAAAATTTAGATTAAAGGAAAGGTCTACACTATATTATTTTAATCTGATAATGTTACTGGTGATCCTTTGCTATATTCACTGATTTGGTCTTACTTTAGAAAATCATGTTTAATGCTTGTTTTTCTTCAATATAATTCTCACGTCTATATTAACAGTTATTAAAATGATAAGACTTGGTGTTTTAAGTGCCATTGATGGCAAGAAATGTGTTATCAGCTGGCTAATTCTGACTATAAAATGTTTGAAACTGGCCAACTGCCAAAAAAAAGATGTTTGAAATGAGTGTTGTCATCAGAGAGTATTGATTAA